TGACATAGAGATAGCTTTCTTTTGTTAACCACTAATTCATTATTCGATTTGCTTCAAAACCTACACTTCAAGTCATATCCGATGAAGTGATTGATGTAATGGCCAGCAACTCTGATGGATTATTTCGTAAGCAAAGATCGTATCGTGTTCCGAGCCGGTTGGTATATAGTTCGCTCAGTGGTGAAACTCTCAGTATTCACAAGTTCGCGCTGATTTTTCTCGTGATTTCTAAGTCTCTCACCACTCACGAAAATTATATCATATTTAAGACACTGATAATTAGAATGAAGCATATTGTTGTTCATGATGTAGAGAGCGTGATTTTCGGGTGATAGAATATCCATAACATCATACTTCTTGTTCGACCTATGAATGCTTTTAACATTTCCGGTAGCTACATCCATGCTGTATACGTTAATACCGAGTTAGAATCAGTCCTCAATCTCATCGAGCTGTAGTAGTAGAATTTTCTAAATAGACTCAACGTATACTTATTCCCCTTAAAAATGCAGTAGCGCTTGAATGCATTCTTCATCTGAGCCTGGATTTTCTGCGAGGATCCTACTTGGTTTTTGGAATGTGTTCCAGGCGATGCAGTAGGAGACGCACTTGTTGTAAGTATTGGGAAGTTAAATACATGCTTGTTTTCGCGAATAAGAGCTTCGTTATTTCCGAGAGCATGGTCGCAACAGTAGACATAAAACATAAATCTTGAATCAGTGATCGCCTTAGGCTTATATTCAGAGCTGGAATAGTTCAGCTTGTCAGCCAACTCCATAGACCGAACTTTCGAAATCCGAATATCCGCCATGCCGTTGATTGCGACAGACGTATTGAATACATGAGTGTTAGTGAGATATGGGTAGAAGTAGCGAGTGTCATCAGGATCAGTCTTGCTCACAAGTTTAAAATATTTACCTTAAAAGCACCTACCTGACCTGAAAGACCGTTCTCGAGCATATCGTAGAAATCAGTAGCCCGATGACCTTGATTCCATGTCTTTACCACTGTCAAAACGGTACTTGGAATCAGCCTTATAGTCAGGCGACATATGGGTTTAGACTAAAACATTGTATCGGTTAGCCACCGACTGAGCGTGAAATGTACTTCATCTTGCCAGTCCTTAACTTGATAACTGCTACCCCATCTGACAGCTTGACTATTTAATCTCTTTAATCCTTCGACATCTTAACTTCATATAATTATCAGGATCGACTTTATCTCTTGGTCATTTACAAATATTATGAAAGATAGTTAAATCAAATATCCATTTTGGAGGTTTTAAATCGGTGTCTCTGACTTAATTAATTGATAAAGTTTGGTTTTGTTGCTAGCTTCGGCTTTGGGTTTTTGGCTTTCGTTTGCGAGGTCTTTGTTTTTTTTGTCGTAGCTCGTTTGAAATTCCAGGCGAGCGTTGCCTTTGTGCTGCTTTTGTGCTGCTTCTGTGCTGGCTTGACGCGTTCTTAGTTAGCGAGGTATTGATCCTGTGGGTACGTCATCTTAGTAAATAAATAAAACGTAATAGATTACGCGGTAAATCTAAAGTTTCGCCTTATGTCAATCGGGCAGCTATCGAAGCAATCCAATACGCATCATGGGCAACTCGAAGCGGCTCGCCACATGCGGCTCCTGCTGGCCATGCTATTTCACCATTCATAAATGGTGGATACGTATCGACACCATCTCTTCCCGACCAATCGAAATCGATCAATACGACTCGGTTCTTACTGGTATCCCACATCACGTTTTGCTCCCGAATATCACCATGGACGAAAGATCCATCTTTCAGAAGGTTTTCGATCTTCAGCAA